GAGCCAGGCCGCTGAGCCCAGCGGGCTGCCTGGGGGGGATCAGGCCCGGGCTCTGGGTCGGTGCTCACCATCATCTTGTCGCTCTTGTTGCTGAAGCAGCCCGTGGAGGACTTCTCGGTGTAGGCGTTGCGCGCGCCGTACTCCAGCTGGCGGTAGCGGGTGGGCACCTCGGTGTCCAGGCGGTAGGACAGGTTGTGCAGGATACACATGCAGTTCTCCACGGACTGGGGGCCAAAGGGAAGCGTGGCACCTGAGCCCGGGCCCCGCCCTGACGGCGCCCCGGGCCCCCTCCCTGCCCTAGCTCCTGAGGAAGAGGCGGGCCCCTCCGCGGCTCCAGGACAGATGAACGCGCTCTCCCAGTCACGCCTCCCGGAGCCTGCGCTGGAATCCAGTTCTCTCAGTTCCTAGCTGCGTGACCTTGAGTGGCTTACTTTGCCTTCGGGGCCCCGGTTTTCTCAGTTGTAAAATGGGACTGAAGTCACCGTCTCTCTCCTGAGGCCCTGTTGTCACATCCAGTGGAGGAGGGGGAGACAAAATCTCTCCACGGGAAACTGTGTGCAGGACCCAGTACCCGTGGTGCCCAGACAGTCCCCTGGTCACCTGGGGACAGTGGGAACTCACTATTCTCCCGAATTGCTGTCCTGCCGTGATGGAAACATCTCAGCCTTCAGTTTCTCTGCCCTCCGTGATTTTTCCTTTCTGTCTGTGTGTGCTAGTGAGTCCTAAAGCCCAGAGGGGACAGGAGGCGGCTTGGCCAGTGGCCTCATTGGGACGCAGTGGGAAGCCAGTGCAGTAGAAGGAGCCTCGGTGCAGGGAGGATGCCCGGGGGCATCAGTGTGGCTCCTCAGGGCCGCAGGCGGGGCTTGGCACCTGCGACAGTGACTGCTCACGGAGAGCTCACTCGGTACCAGGCCTGCTTCGTGTCTTGCTTATGAACTAATTGAGCCCTTAAACTAACCCAGGAGGCAGATTAGGATTATGATCATTTCTGTTGGAGCAAAGTACAAACTGAGGAACAGAGAAATCATGGAAGTGTCCGCATTCACACAGCCTCTGAGTGAGGGACAGGGGACCTGCCTCTGTAACCACTGTCCCCGGCAAGCAGAGCACTCTGCAGACAGCTGTCCCCTTCACTGGCCAGTCTCTGGGCGTCTGTCCTGTCACTGGACCATGCCTTAAAGGCCCCTCGAGTGCAGACCTGCCTCGTGGAGCCTGGGAGAGGAAAATGTCAGGACCTAGAGTCCAAGGAGCTGCCCTCACTGATTCTGGGGAGGCCCTGGGCCTTGGAGCACTGGACAGAGAAGAGGACTGGGGTCCAGGGCCGGGGTGGGGTGCCGCCTGGGTGTGCTCACCTTGTCATCACAGCGGCTGGCGGCCACGCAGTTCTGGACATAGGCCATAAGGGAATCAATGAGCCCCGTGTAGTTTCGCATGGTCTGGCGGCCTGCGTCGGCAGAGCTCAGGTTCCTGAGGGAGAAAACAGAGACGGGGTGAGGAGGCAGGGGAGGAGGGGTGGGGGTGGAGAAGAGAGTGGTTGGGGGGCACGCAGGGGAGAGAGCAGATGGGGGAAGAGGGGGCGGAGGGGATGGGGGATGCGGTTGGAGGTTTGATAGGACGAGAGCAGGGCAAAAGAAATGAGGAAGAAGGAAGGAAAAGACCATTCAGCCAATTCCGCCCCATTCTGGCTGAGGTTGGATGGGCTCTCATTTGAACGCGGCTCTTTCCACCCCTCTTGCTGCCCACCTGTAACTTTTATGACGGTCAAGGCCTCCAGTGCAGCTAGCAGGCCAAGACACACGCCTTACCACTAGGGGGCACCTGTTGAACGGGGGCTGGAAGCTTCGCCTGCCCAGTTTTTTTCTGTGGGACAGGAGAAGCTCTTTGGGGTGCTGGGGCCAGGGGCTGGATCTGAGAAAAGAGCTGACAGGTGCTCGGCTGGGAGCCAGATGCCCCCTCCCCGTGGAAGCTGTGTTCTGCCTCAGCAGCGGGCTCCTTCCCAAGCATCCCGGGCCTATTTGCCTGGTGTAGGCCGAGTGTGGCCGCTGTTGTCCCCAACAGTCCTGCAGCCCTATCAAGTCCTTAACACCCCGGCTTTGCTCACTGGGGGCCACTGATGGAGGCTGAAAGGGAGGAGCACAAGCTGAGACAGAAGCTCACACCACCTGCACCCCTCACTCTGGGGCTCCCAGGAATTGGGGAAGACAAACCCCATCAGAGCAAGGCGTGACCCTAAAGGGTCCATTCCACTGCTACACCTCCATACCAGCACCCACAACCCAGCTTGCAGCCTGTCTCCTAGAATGAGCATGCCCACGTCCCTCCTCCAAGAGCCCCCAGGGGCCTTGCTTCATGCTGGGGTAGGACTCGGGAGACTTTGGGCAGAGCTCTGCCATCTTCATGCCAATGAATATGGCAATTGGTGTTAGCATCATAGCTGGGAAATGACTCATTAGGAGCCCATCAGCAAATTTTTGTCCAAAAGAACACGCTTCAAGATAGTCCAAGAAATGCATTTTTGGGAAATGGAGGAGAGGGAAATGGTTGAACCAGTTTGGATATTCAGATCTGGCATTTCCACTCAGATTTCTAACTAAGTCTGCTGTGGTCCCTTAAAGGAGGTCATGGAGTCCTGATCCTTATCTGGATCTGGGGACGTCAGGAGCGCCGGGGCCCCATTTCTTGGAGTCTACCCATGAAGGCCGGTGCCAGCCAGACTGCATTTTATGTTCCGTGCCCTGGCTGAGTCCTGCCCGAGATGGGGCTGCCTGGGCAAAGGCCCAGGGCTGGGGCCAAAAGACCCCACGGGCGGGCTCTTCTCTCACCTCAAGCAGCCTGTGGCATTGAAGAAGACTTCAGGGTCCACCATTTCCCGGGTCACGTTGCTGTTGCCATCACACCAGCCGGAGAAGGGAATGATGACCCAGTCGGCCAGCACAGGCAGGGCGTCCGCGATGAGCTCCTCCTTCAGCTCATCAGTGGAGGACAGGTTCCAGAGCAGCCCTGGATGTTGGGGACCGTCAACCCAACACATGCCAGGCTCAGGAAGACCCCAGGCGATGGCGTGTCACCCCCAGCCTGCTCTGGCAAACGAGCCCTACGGGAATGTCACTTTCCAAGTAGGCCTGGGTTATTCGGTCTAGTGTCTGATTGTTTCCTGAGCCCGCTTCCCAGTGTCTCAACGAGACTGCAGGTTCTTTGAGGGCGGGGAGCATCTAGGGTTCTTTATCTAGGCCAAAATTATGAATATGGAAGGCGATCAAGAAACATTTGATTGATCTGTGGGTTTTAATATAAAGGTTAGCACTCAGAGTCTTCTAATGTTCTCTATTTTCCACCTGAAAGTCATTCCGGAAATACTGATCATGGTTACTCTGTGCATGGTCTCATCTTCCCAGTCCAGGCTGAAGGTTTCATAGTTCCTTCTGTCTCTTGTGTCCCCGGCCCGAGTGCTTAGCATACTGTTCGGGCACAGGAAGGTGCTTAAGACCTGTTAGTCCCTGCTCTCATCGACCTCCCTTCCTCCCTTTCACCTGTGGATCCCACCTGTGAATATGGATCCTGCCTGGACACCAGCCTTCTACTCTTTGCCTTCTATCTTCAAAAAGACCTTGACTCAGGGGCCTTTGGGTGGTTCAGTCGCTTCAGCATCTGACTCTTGGTTTCAGCTCAGGTCGTGATCTCAGGCTCATGAGATAGAGCCCCACATTGAGCCTGGAGTCGGGCTCTTCGATCAGTGGGGAGTCTGCCTGAGATTCTCTCTCTCCCTCTGCTCCTCCCCCCTCTCATTGTCTCTCTCAAATAAATAAATAAATTAAAAAAAAAAAGACTTAGACCCCTTGTGGGTATGCACCATCTGGACACCACTAATCTGGCCAAGGCCAGGGCCATGGGGGCTCCCAAGATATTAGCCGGAGGTCAAATCTGCACGGTTGTGCTTTGACCCAGCCTGGAGGGGCTGCCCCACGCCCCATCTTGGGACTGCAGCCAGCAGTCCCGCCCACCCCGGACCCCTAGCTCTCCACGACTGGCGCTCCCTACCGGTTAGTTGTTTCTGGATCTCAGTGCTCCCAGTTCTCCTCAGGAGGCTGACAGCCTCTCGGATCCCATTCTGCCTCCGCGTCTCTAGCTTGTTGGTGACGCTCCGGAACACCAGGTTACGCAGGGCCCCAGCCGCAGCCTGCTGGACGTTCTGGTTGGGGCTCCGGAGGAGGTCCACCAGCTTGCAGATGCCTCCCAGCTGATAGACCTGTTGGGATAGGGGGGCCGCCTTGCCCAGTCAGGGAGGTGAGGCTGATCTAGTGTCTCTACTCAAAGCGATTTTTCTCAGACCCAAAAGTCTACTGCCAGTTCTGAAATATTCAAGCCAACCAAAATAAATAAGCAATGTGGAGTCACAGCAACCAGATCAGGAACCAAGATGGATTCAGATGTTAGCTCCCCCATGTCCTCGCCAGGAGAGTCACCCCTCTGTTCTGAGCCCCACTTTGCTCCTCTGGAATACGGCAGTGAGGACCGGAGGAGGAAATGGATATAAATACACTTCAAAATCCTAAAGCAAGACAGACGTAAGGGAGACCCTCCCACAGGAACTCTTTCTCCTGTGGCAGGAACTTTGATGCTTATGGATCGTGGAATCTCTAGGAAACCTGTTTAGGGCATCACACCCTAGGGCTGAGCTGCTGAGCCCTATAGGCATCCTTCCCAACAGCCAAGCTCGGGAGGCATGAACAAGCCCTGTTTCCCACCATGGATGCCTGGTGAGAAAGAGGATCAAGAGACAGAGAGGCCGAGAGGCCGAGACAGACAGACAGAGGGAAAGGGGCTGGGGAAGGGAATTGAAGGGTGGAAAGTAGTCACATTCTCTAGTGGCATCTGAGAAAGGGGATTTCCTGTTGAACTCATGGCTGTTTCTTCCATGTGATCAGTGGGGGAGACACGCCTAACTAATGTCCACTCAACTAGAGGGTTAAGATGCCCAGCTGTGATCTTAGGCGATGCCAAGCACACTCCTCGCCCCAGGCCGCCAGGCAGGGCGAGAAGGAGCAAATGCAAATGCCCCCACCCATCTCTAAATGGGGTCAGGCTGACACACGCCCAGTCCCTGCCCAGGCCTCCAGGGGGAGGAAGGTGTGCAGCCAGTTACCTGTTGTTTGGCCGATTCATCCTGGAAGCAGGTATGCTGGATGTAATAGGCCCCAATGGCCTGGTACTTCTCATCCTGGGAGCTCAGGTACTGCACAGCCTTGGGGATGGTCAGCCCACTGCACTCGATATCCTCGCTGCAGATCCTGTGGGCAATGGGCAGTGGGGTGGGTTCCAGGGTAGGCTAGGAGCCCCGGGGCCAGGGGCTCAGAAACCCCCCTGTATGCCCAAGCTGCCACAGCCTGTCTATCCATCCATCCACCCATCCACCCACCCATCCATCCACCCATCCATCCATCCATCCATCCATCCATCCATCCATCCATCCTCCCTCCCTCCTGTCTCTATACAACCATCAATGCCTCCATCTCTCCCAAAGTCCAGCTAATTCTTCTTACATAAAAATTCTCACATCTGCTCCTTCTTCCCAACCTCATGGGCACTGCCTTCCTTCTGACCATGATCACTCTCACTGGGACTACAGCAAGAGACCCCCACAACTGGGTCTCTTCTCCAGGCTCCCCTATTCAAATTTTTCCTCCCTTTTACCAGACTAGCAGTCCTAACACCTGGTTCACTGTGTTGTTCCCATCAGTGGCTTCTCCATCCTGCGGGTTCAAGTGCAGACTGCTTACACTAATATCCAAGGGCACATGTTAAGTTGGACCATATGAAATGCTGATAGTCAAATTTTTGAGCCACAAAACAAAACATTTTATGTTTCAACCTAATCGTTTGGCTCTGCTATGCCCTCTTGCACACTCCCCAGCTCCTCACGAGGTCCGCTCCTGCAAGACTCTTCTGTCCACTGAGCATCCATGTGGCTCTCATATGTGGCTGTGTCCCCTCCCGTCACAACACAGGTGCCTCGATGAAGCCCCGCTTCCCTGAACATTCCAGCGAAAGGATACCTTTCCACCTGTCTGTGTCCTGGTTCCCAACAGACATGGAGAGTTCCTGGGGGCAGGGGCAGCCCCTTCTGTGGCACCCAGCCCCACCCCACTAGGAATCTCCTCAGCGCTTGCACATGATGCAAACATCATCTCTAAATGGCTTGTCATACATCCCCTTCCCTGTCTTGCCTAGACCTTGTCCTCTTAGGGCCTCTGGTTTGGGGCAACGAGCCAGGGCTAGATGCTGCCCCAATCCCTGCTCCACGGGAGAGGGTTTCTTAGTCCTTCTCCAAATCATCCTAAATACACCTTATGGCCTTTGAGTAATTAGGAGAGGTCCAGCTTTACAGTGGGGTTCAGCTTATTATCGAAACAGTACGACAGAGTGGGGACGAGCACAGGATGCTGCATCAGCTGTGTGGCCTTGGGCAAGTGAGTTAACATCTCCGTGCCTTGTCTCCTCCTCAGGAGTTCTAGCACCTGCCTAGAAGGGGCTATGAGGTTTAGAGATGAAGACTGCAGAGCTCCTGGAGCTCTAGGAAAAACGGTTTATCAGTTAATTGTGTGGCTCTAAGATGGCTCTGCGCTGTTCTGTTTCTGGCTGTGTTCCCTCCACTTACCATACATCCTGGAACATAGTAGATGCTTAGTAAATGCTTGTCAAATCAATGAATAAATGATCATTAGGTGGCGATAAGGAACAGTTTGGAGGTCTATGGAGCTCTGAGTCCTGGAGGGCAGGCCCAATGTCCCCTAGGACACTGTCCCATCCCCAAGCCACCCTGTGCCTGTGGCTCTTTACAGGACACCCCACTTCATCTCCTTCATTCTCACTGGGCCTTCAGTGTCGAGGGACAAGAGATGTACTCTGTTCTTCAGCACTAGATCCAGTTCCTCAATTTTGATGTCTGACCGTCCTGGTTGTCTGTTGTCCTATCAGGTGGAACACGGCCCCCTTGCCCATCATCCACATCAGGGCACACTCCTTTGCTCTTTCAGAACATGGATAGAGATTTGCATGCCTAAGATCACAGACTCTCGGTCCCCTGGAGGGCCTGTTAAAACACACGTTGCCCGGCCTCTCCCTGAGTTTCTGAGTCAGTAGGTCTGGGTGCAGCCTGAAAGTGTTCCCAGGTGATGCAGCTGCCACTGTTTGGAGGCACACAGTTGGAGCTCCACTGGCCTCTAGTTAGCCTCCTCTGTTCATCACCTGTGACCCTTTAGAACCTACATACCCCATGCGTTTGTGTTAATGTCTGGGTTCTGTCTCCCCCTTCACACTGAGGACTGCCCGAGGTCAGGAACGCTCCCCCTGCAGGGACAAGGAGCCCCTGGGGACCGAGGTGGTCCTTCCAATCATCAGCAACTCCCTCGCAGCGAGCAGCCCCGCTGACAGTCTGCCTCCACCTTGGCCCCCGCCCTGGCCCCCCGCCCAGCCTGGCGGCACTTACTTGGAGCTGGCCCTCGAGTGGCCAAAGGACAGGTCCTTGTTGCAGGACATGGGCGGGACGTACACGGGGTCCTGCTTGGAGGTGCAGGAGGGCGGGCGCACAGGGCACTTCTTGACCGCCTTCTGGCCGCTGCAGGTGCTGTAGAAGCTGTAGCGGTTCTGGGTGGTCTTCTGGCCCCTGTTGCTCAGCGTGCCCTTGCACAGGGTGCCCCGAGGGTCACAGTAGAGGTCAGGCTCGCTGCGGCTTGCCTTGATCTTCTGCATGAAGCAGATGTCACTGCCTGCGCCGGTCGTGGGACAGGGGCCCCGTGGGTAGTGCCGGCTCCAGTTGTCCATCTGGCTGTAGGAACTGAAGCGCCTGTTGTCATTCTCCCGCTTGAGGGTCCCGTTGTAGATCTGGGCAGAGGAAGGAAGGAAGGCTCAGTGGAGGTTCCTGACCAGGGATTCTGGATCCAGCTGGCCAAGAGACCCTGACCTCCCCCGGCCTCTGTAATAACTAGTTCATGGAATCCCAGAATGTTCGGAGTGGAAGGCATCTTAGCCATCATCTGATATATTATCTTTTTCAAACTGCAGGTTGTGACCCAATTTGGATTATGAAATCCATTGAGCTGATTTGTGACTCTCGTTTAAAAAAATAGGACAGCATGGTAGAGGCTGGAACGTAAGCCGTCAGAGTGCAAGGTTGGCTGTTGAGACACATGTTGTGTTGTGGGCTGGGCTGCGATGGAGAACACGTTTCTTACTGTGGTGGGGGGGGTAGCCACTCATCCAGTCCTACGTGAATGGCCTTGGCCGGGTGGGGAGTCGGAGGCCCAGAGAAGTCAGGGAACCTCCAACTCAGGAGGGAAGGGTGACACTGGACCTGTGCCCATGTCCCCAAGTCGTTGCCCTGTCGCCCCGTGAAATTCTCAGACACCGGCAGCTTCCAACACAGCCAGCCTTCCTTGGCCACTTGTACTCAGCGTGGGCAAGATGTCTCCTTTTCTGGCCAGGACTGTTTTCCACTGTTATTTCTCTGCTGAACTCCTCATGTTGCCTCCCCTCTGCCAGGGTAAGAAGCAAATGATAACATCGCCCTCCGGGGGAACCCCTCACAGGCCAAAGGGAGAAAATACTTCTGCTCCTGGGCCTTCTTTGAGCACCGACACACATGAAGGCAGGCCCAGGGGCTTAGGGTGGGGTGCAAGGGGAGCCTCCTGGGCTTTTTGTCAGGCTTGCAGGAGGGACAGGTTGGGCAGAGGCTCAGTCCGACAAGAAAACATACCGTAATGAGGTGCCCCCCGCCGGGGCTCCGTGTGAGCTCACCTGGGGATGCGGCCTCCCTGGTTAAGAGCCTACAAAGCTGGAGATTTGGTGGGAATGAGCTCGGAACAGATCTGTTGAAGGGGGACTTTCCCAGAAGCTCACAGTCTGGTGGTAGGTCTGCTTGCTCTGACTTGTCCTCAGACTAGAGGGTAACACTGAGCCTGTGGAGATAAAGTGTCTCCACACAGGGGCTGACTTGGATCTCACCTTTGCTGGGATGAGCCAGGGCCAAGCCTAGCAGCCCAGAGCCTGCCCGCCCCACCCCATGAGTGTTTGTGTGTGTGTGTGTGTGTGTGTGTGTGTGTGTAGGGGAGGTGGTTAGACAACTGGGCTATTCTCCTCTACACCAGATCTAGCCACACAAGTCTGGGGAGGGGCCTTCTCTTGGCCAGTTCCCTTTCATCTTAGCAGGAAGCCACCTTGGGTCAAGATTCCAGTCAGAAGTGGCATCCAAAAGTCAGAAGCCACAAACTGTTAACCTTGACAATGGTGCTCTCATCTCCTCCACCCACATGCTCAGCTGGGCACTCAGGTGGGCATAATTTTCTTCCCCAAACTGGGTCAAACCAACCTAACCCAAAGGGAACAGGTGTGTGGGTGTCTGGGGAGGCATAAATGAGCAATAGGAGGCAGAGGGAATCTGGAATGTGCACTTTGCACAAAATATGCAATTAGGCCACCCCTGCTTTAGGCCAGTGGCCACACCCCTCACCCCTCCAGCCTCCCAGGGCAGGGAAGGTGACGATAGCACTTCGAAGGGCCAGCTGAGCACTCCCCATGTGGCAGGCTAAGCCTTAAATGGAAATGCAACAAGGAACTCTCTTGTTCTCAGTAAATGACAATCCCGGACGTCAGCTCAGGCACCTGATGAGGAGTCCAAACGCTCATCCTGGACCAAACCCAGCAAAAATGTGATCATGCTGATTAAGCCTGACAGAGGCTTTGGGCTTTGCTCTCCTGTGCTGGGAAAGGAACAATGGGCAGCCCTGCCAAATCTCGGCGAGGGTGGGCTGCCTAGGGGAAGGGTGCTGGCTGTGCCCTCGGGGGACCAGGCGTGGTGGAGAAGGCAGGGCTGACCCTGTGGGACTGCATTTCCTACCCCCCCCCCCATCAGCCACATCCCGGTGGCGTCACCCATTCCCGGGAGCCCCACCCCAGCTCCTTGTGTTATGGCTGCTGGTGGCTGAGGACAGCCGCGGGTGACTCCCGTCATCATGACTCTTTGCTGTTACTTTGACAAGTGGGAGCGCCAAGCTTCCTCTTTGCCAGGCCCTTTCCTGTCCTAGTATCACAGGGGGTCTGGGTTTCCCTCCAAGGCTCAGACAAAGCAGGTTGTCACCGGCCTTCCCTGTGACCTTTCCCCTTTGCTGTCCATCAGGCTGAAATCTTGGGACTCCAGGTACATTCCTCCAGCTCCCTGGGCAGAGGGAGACTCAGTGGTCAAGAACATGGACTCTGGAGCCACACTGCCTAGGCCGAGCCCTGGCCATGTCAACTGCCCGATGGGGGGCCTTGGCAAACTTGCTTGAACACAGCACACCTCAGTTCTTTTTTTTTTTCAATTTGTAAAACTGGGATTATAATTGTACCCAGTGTGGGGAGAATTCAGTGAATGAATGTTTGTAAAGTGCTTAGGACAGTGCATGACATAAATGTTTGTTTAGTAGGGACATCTGTATCCCTCTGATGCTCAGACCGGAGGCAGACTGGGGGCCTCTAGGACCTGGCTGAGGGTTGTACATCACCCAAGTCATGCCTAAAGGGGCCACCAGGTTGGCACTTGAGGGGGACGAACCCAGGAAGGTAGGCCAGTCCAGGAAAGGGGAATACACTAGTATTCAGAGCCTCATGCTAGTCTCACCCACTGGCCACAGAACAGGCCTCACTAGGTTTCAGAAAACCAGAGGAGTGTGGTCTGCCTGTAAGGCTTTATGACGGAATGGAATGACGCGGTGTTTCTTTACATGGGTGCCGTCGGCATTTGGGGCAGGACAATTCTTCATTGTGTAGGTTGCCCCAAGCACTGCAGGATGTTTAGTTGCCTCTGGCCCCCAGTCCTAAATGCCAGCATGCCTTGCTGTCATTGTGACTAGCAAGAATGCCCCCACACATTCCAGGTCCTGAGCAAGCAGCTGCAGCTGGAGCGGAATACGTGGGTAGTGTGCACCCAGGTGCCCACAGCAGGTGGGAGAGCTTCACTGCCAATGTCGGGTCTCCCAGGCACACCCCCACACCCAGATAGTGATCTGCTGGCAGCGTCTTCTGCTTTGAATACAAAGGACAGTGAGACACAGACACACAGCCCTCGTCTGGTTATCTCACGCTTCCTTGGGAAACTCCAGCCTTGTGTGGTATGGGCCGTGCATCAGAACATACCAGAGGCTAGAAACTCGACTTTCTGGGGGCAGAGATGACCCTCAACCAGGAGTAGGCCAGAGAGAGCTGGAGTAGGCCAGAGAGGGCTGCCCTTAGCAAAGAGCCTCTCCTAACCAGGCCCTGCTCTGTTTCCCTTTCTGCTAATGACTTAGGTCTTATAATTCATCCACCTTTCTCCCCTCCTCCCCTTCCTTCTTGGAAAATTGTGCCATTTTATGTCCTGCTGAATGCTCCCAGCCCCTCTTCCTGTTCCTCCTCACGTCAGGAAGTGCTCAGAGGTCAACCTCCTCGTTTTGCAGGCAAGGAAACTGAGTCCTGGAGGGTGACTAGACTAACACAGCCCAAGAAGAAGGGCCTCAAAGAACTGAATATAGTCAGTTTCCCCTTGAGAGTCCCATTCAGTCTGAAGAGACCCCCAAACTGGAAGAGCTCCTGTCGGCCCAAGTTCATCGGACATGACAGTGACCAACCATTCAGGACGAGATGGCATCCTTCTGTCCTTCCAACTGAGAATCCTTTCTGACTCCTCCTTTCCCATTCCCACTCCCCAGACTGTGGCCCCGGTGAGCCTCAGCTCGCTGCTGGACAATTCCAGTGCCTCCTGCCAACCTCTAACCCAGCCCTTGGGGTCCTGGTGCCTTCCTGGTGGTGCCATCCACCTGACCTTCCTCAGACAAAGCTTTCCTTGCTTGACAAACCCACAGTGTCTCTCTGCTTATTGCAAGAAGAACTCACCAGCCTGGCCCCCTTGCCTGTCTGGTCACCTCTTGCCTCCCCAACACACCCCTTTATGCTATCTGGTGACATCAGCCACATCCTGCTTCTGCCCAACCTCTTCTCCATCCTGCATAGCTTTCCTTGCCCCTCCTCCCAAGTCCTGTGTTTCTCCAAGGCCTCTTCCCCAGTCATCTGCACAAGGCCTGCTCTGACCCACCCAAGGCCCCCTCTCCGGATCTCTGTCGTGTCCAGAGCTGGGCTTCTTCATCTGCACACCCCCGCTGGCCGTGACCTTATGTGTTCTTTAGTTGCTAATGGTTTCTGTCATTTTCCCCAAGCTCTCCAGGGCAAAGATGCCCTTTACTGTGCCTAGAACAGGGCTGGCCTCACCGCAATTGCCCAAAGGAGTGCCTTGACTTGCCATGGGAATGTGTGCCCGTGATGGAAATCTGGGCTGTTGGTTGGCACTGGGGTTCCCACAGCCTCCATGGGCCACAGGGGATCCTTGTCAATGAAAAGAGCTGTCAGGAAGGCAGAGGGGTTCCAGATGAGGCAAGCCAGTCTGTGAAGGTGGCCCAGCGTGGCTTCAGGCTATAGGGGTCCAGGATTCTTCCCTTTACCCCTTGACCTGGGCTTTATTAGCGGGTTGGCTGAACCTAGAGAGTTCTATTCCAGCTCTGGCTGACCAGACAGAAGGAGCCAGGCATGTGCTGGGCAGACCGAGATGAAAAGAGTGTCTGTGTCCCCAGCTATTAGTCCATTTTGAAACCAAGCTTCTGCCAGCAAGGTGGGGCTGGCCAAACCGGCTCTCCTGCAGGACACACCCTGCTCTTCCCTACGAGTCCCACACCCAGCACAGTGCCCAACAGGACCACCTGCAGCAATGTACTCCCCAACGCCCTTCTCACGAGACTGTGTGCACACACACAACTTCATGGGGTCCCCGTGCCTCCCGGGCCGGGCGAAGCCCCTCCTGAGAAAGGACTTGCATTGAA